ATAAACTGTCTTACAGAATTAAAATTCCCACGACTAGCAAAGTTTTCCAAAAACATTTCATGCATAATAGGAACGTTTTATTCATATCTGTAAGTTCTTTTTCTTAAATTTTTCTTTATTGCAAAACTTACATATTTTTAGTTCAATTGTTAATATTTTTTTATCACTGACTAAAAAAAAAATATATATCATAAAGAGTAGTCATAAGACTCGTAACTGCTAAAAGTTATATATATATATATATATATATATATATATATATATATACGCGCGCACGCGCACACACACACACACACATTTACACGTTATTGAAAGAAACTATCAAGTCCAAAGTTATCGCATTACCTTTAGCCATGAAATCAAATTGATTAATGTGTGCAGAAAGAATGAATCGATTGCTAATGGACATGGTAAGAAGTATGATTAGTAATTCTTCTCTCCCTTTATCTCTATAGAGTGAGGCCAAAAATCGCTATGTATATCTTAAACAGGGTTCCAATCAAATTGATTCCAAAAACACCCTTTGAGTTATGGAATGGTTGGAAACTAAGTTTAGGACACTTACACATATGGAGTTGTCCAGTTGAGGTCAGGGTGTACGATCCTATAGAGAAAAAGTTGGACTTAAAAACAATAAGTGGGCTTTTTATTGACTATGCAGAAAAGTCCAAGGGGTTCAAGTTTTATTGTCCTTCGCATAAACCCATTATTGTTGAGGCGAGAAATACTAGGTTTCTTGAGGATATTGACATTAGTGGGAGTGAACAACCTCGAAATTTAATTTTTGAGGAAACACGGGATTTGGTTGTTAGATTTGTGACTAAAGAACCTTTACCTGTACTTCAAGACATTTTTCAAGATATTATTATGGAAGAACAGGTAAATTAAGAAGTTCCTACCCATGAGAATCATGTTGTCAATGAACCTGTTCTAAATGAACAGATAGAGTTAAGAAGGTCCTCAAGAGTAAAAAAACCTGCAATCCCCTCTGATTATGTTGTATATCTACAAGAAATTGACCATGATATTGGAATTGATAAAGACCCAATTACGTTTTCACAAGCCATGAGTGGAGAAAATTTAAGGTTATGGTATGATGCCATGTTAGAGGAACTAGACTCTATGGCTAAAAATCAAGTCTGGGATTTGGTTCAATTGCCAGCGGGGGCTAATGCAGTTGGCTGTAAATGGGTTTATAAGACTAAAAGAGACCCAAAAGGTAAGATTGAACGATATAAGGTCAGACTTGTAGCCAAAGGGTATACTCAAAGGGAAGGCATTGATTACCATGATACATTTTCTCCCGTTTCTACAAAGGATTCCCTTCATATTATCATGGCATTGGTAGCTCATTTTGATTTAGAGTTACATCAAATGGATGTGAAAACAGTATTTCTTAATGGGGACTTGAATGATGAGGTATACATGAAACAACCTGAAGGTTTTCATTCAGGTAAAGAAAACAAATTAGTTTGCAAACTCAAGAAATCTATATATGGGTTGAAACAAGCCTCACGTCAGTGGTATTACAAATTTCATGATGTTATCTCTTCTTTTGGGTTTAAAGAAAACATCGTCGATCAATGTATATACCTTAAGGTTAGTGGGAGTAAGTTCATTCTTTTGATCCTATATGTGGATAATATTTTGCTTGCCAATAGTGACTTAAGGTTGCTACATGAAGTTAAAGAGTTTTTCTCTAGAAATTTTGATATGAAAGATATGGGTGAAGCATCCTATGTCATTGGCATAGAAATTTATAGGGATAGATCACAAGGATTGATTAGATTATCCCAAAAGGCCTATATCAATAAAGTTTTAGAGAGATTTCGAATGTTGGGTTGTGCTTCAAGTGTTGCTCCTGTTGTCAAGGGTGACAAATTCAATCTAAATCAGTGCCCAAGAAATAATTTGGAAAGGGAAGAGATTGAAGTCATTCCTTATGCATCTGCAGTAGGATGTCTAATGTATGTGCAAGTATGCACTAGACCAGACATTGCATTTGCAGTAGAAATTTTAGACAGATACCAAAGTAATCTAGGAATGGATCATTGGCAAGTTGCAAAGAAAGTGATGCGATATCTACAAGGGACAAAGGATTCCATGCTAAAATACAAAAGATCAAATCTTTTGAAAGTGGTTGGATATTCTGATTCTGATTTTGGAGGATGCATTAACTCTAGAAAGTCAACATCAGGATATGTATTCCTCTTTGTAGGGGGAGCTATCTCGCGGAAAAGCTTAAAACAGAAATCAATCACTTCCTCTACTATAGAGGCGGAGTATGTAGCATGTCATGAGGCTACAGGACATGCCTTATGGTTCTGGAATTTTATCACAGATCTTAAAGTTGTGGATTCCATCTCTAGGTCATTAAGAATCTATTGTGATAATTCCGTTGCAGTTCGTTTCTGTAACAACAATGCAAGTGGGAGTTCAAATAGGTGGATTAACATAAAGTTCCTTATTGTTAAAGAAAAAGTTTACAATCATCAAGTGTTAGTAGATTACATAGAAACAAAGTCATTGTTCGCAGATCCAGTGACAAAGGGTTTGCCGCCCAAATTATATAAGGAACATGTAGGACATATGGGACTTATTGATATGTCTTGTGTTTGATTTACTGAGATGCTTTAAAATTTGCAATTGCATTTATGTTCTGATGATTTTTAGTTTTTTATTTGTCATTTTTAAGGAAATATACATAAAGATTATAAATGACAAATTATCCTTTTGGATAATAAAGTAGAACTTTGGAATGACTTATGGGAGCTTATGCATACAGATAGTCCATTGGGACAATAAAGTTGACTTCCTTGAATAGTTTTTGAAATAACTATTTATAAAGTACTACCACATAAAGATGTTTATCTAAAGAAAGACAGTGATATAATGATACATGGAAGGCAGTACTCATTTGTATAGTGTAATTTCCGCCATGATTTTATACACTGAAATTCTATAGATAAATTTTTTTTTTTTTTTTTTAGTTCTCAAACCCAGAAGGGTAATGAATGTGTTAATATTGGCCAAGTGGGAGAATGTTGGACACGTTTATTCATTAATCGTGGTGTAGCCTATATTCTCACACTATTCTAACCACTTACACTGACACAACGTTATTGAGAAGTTATAAGTACATGATTTTTGGGAAGTTACGGTGGTTTAATAATAACTGCCATTTTGAATCAAAATAGAAAAGAAGGCTTGTATGATAGATTACTTGCTTCTCGAATTTAATTTTTTACAGAATCTTATAGAGGTCCCATTTCTAACAAGTGCAGTTTGTGTTGTCTCCATCAAGTACACGCATCAAGACTTGTATAGGCGTGAACGTTATTAGGATTTCTCATTTTGTTTTGCAGGCATTAATCAATCTGATTTCATGGCTAGAGGTAATGCGATCTCTTTGGACTTGATGGTTTCTTTCAGTTATTAGATGCCTGTTAAGTTGGACTTGGGCTTAACTTTAGGCCATAAGGTCAGCCTGGCCTAGTCTTTTTTTTATACGTAAATTCGACAATGAAATGCAAAGTATGTAAGTTTTTTTGATGCAAGAAGTAGGGGTGCACAAAAGAACTGTGGAATCGGAACCGAAACCGTGAGAACGGGAATCTAAAATTTCGGTTCTCACAGTTCCGGTTCCGGTTTTGGTTCCGATTCTAGTTCCTAAAATGAAAAACCGTTGAATTTCGGTTCAGTTCCGGTTTCAGTCTCACGGTTCTGTTCTGCAACCGGAACCGTAATATATATATATAATTATATTATTAGTAATACAATATATAACATTATATAATATTTTATATAATGTTATATATTATATTTGATTATTTGATTATATTTTATTTTTAAGTCAAATCAATGAGGCTCAGCCTCCCCAATCGCCTCCATCTCTATTCTCTCGACTCTGAACTTGCCCTCTCTCCCTCTGCAACTACAAAATCTACAAGAATCAGAAGTTCAAAACCCATATATTTCAAATCTGTCTGCAAGAATCAAAAACTCAAAACCCATATCGGCATATCATTTCAGATTGTTCAAAAAATTAAAACCCATATCTTTCAATTTCCATCGCTTGCTGTTCCAGTTAATTCGGGTTCGCAAGCTTCAGCCACTGTCTCTCAACTCTCAAGCTTGCCCCCCTCTCTCTCTCTGCAACTGCTAAACTTGCCCCCTCTCTCTCTGCAACTGTAAACTACAAAATCTACAAAAATCGAAAGTTTAAAACCCATATATTTCAAATCTGTCTCCAAGAATCAAATGTTCAAAACCCATATCAGCATATATCATTTCAGATTGTTCAAAAAATCAAAACCCATATCTTTCAGTTTCCATCGCCCGTTCCAGTTCGGGTTCGCAAGCTTCAGCCGACAGCCACTGTCTCTCAACTCATGGTTAACAGTTCTCACGGAACCGAACCGGTTTTCGGTTTGGTTTTGGTTCGGTTCTAATTTATACGGTTTTGATTCCGATTCCATTTTTGTTTTTTAGGAACCATTGTGAACGGTTCCGGTTCCAATTCTGACCAGAACCGTAAAGAATCGAACCGTATGCACCCCTAGCAAGACAAAATTTTAGTTACACCAAGCCGAATCAAGAGCGAGAACACATGACTTAAGAGTGACACCTGTTAAAACGAATTATGTGACTGAAGTGTAGCCTAATATTTATTTATGTCAGTGATTGATCTTGGATACAATTTATTTTTTATTTTAAAATTTAACATATTTCTTTAAGTTAGTAGCAATTTAAAGAAGATTATTACTTAAATAAAAAATTTATAAGCATAAGAAATGTCCATGTAGATTCGCATTAATTGATACCATCATGGTGTACACATAATGAAGACATACATAAAACGTAAATTACACCCGACTCCCACAATTGGACCGTCGAGAGTCAACTTTTAAGCATTTTTATATAAATATTAGAAATCAACAAAAAGATTTAAATATTAGAAATAAATATATTTATAATATATGATCCAATAAATCTAGAACCTAGTCTGCTTTAGTTTGTGACGTTGAAATGGATGCTTCATCTAAGGCATGCTTGAGTTGGGGAAATAAAATGCGACCATAACACCAGTCCATCACTTGAGGGCATAAAGCTTCCACCATAAACAACGCCTTGTACCATTTTGGTTCGGTCACGTATCTTTCTCCTCGTCGTATCCCGTCAACAAGGGCTTCTGCAGCTCTCCTTGAACTCATCACCGGAACTAATCGAAAAACAACCTGTCCATAACCAAGGGCCGATTCAAGAACTGTTAATGGGGTAGGTGAATATTTTTTTGAGTAGGGTAATCATTTTTATATATATAAACTTGTAGCATGTATGCAACTATGTGTTAATCTTACATTTCTTATTATTCGATTTATTTAAATGAGGTATACCTTAGATAAGTGTTCTTGTCTGGTCATGTTTGAATCTATAAACCCAAGAGTTGCAATTGTTACTGTGATTGAAGGTGCCAATTCAGATCTCAATGTCTCAAAGAAAGTTTTTACAGCCGATTTACTTGCCTGGAGCACAATGTAAATAATAATAATAATAAGGAAACAATTTATATATATATATATAGAGAGAGAGAGAGAGAGAGAGAGAGAGAGGAGATAATATTTAGATATATAAATAATGCATGTGATTAATTCATACACTGTAGAAGCCCAATGTTGGAGGGTGCATCAATGCAGCAACTGAGGAAATGGCAAGGATTTTTCCCTTGCTTTTTTTGAGGTGAGGAATTGCAAAATGGGTTGGATAAACAAGTCCCCAAAAGTTTACGTCCTGTACATATAACTACGTATTCAGTTTTTAAAAGAAAATAAAGCAAGGGAAAAAAAATTTACTACTTATTATTACTCTTACTACAGAAGGAATATTACCATCACACGTGGGAAATTCGTAACATCTGTGATATTTTCAATTGGGCATACAGAGGAAATACCCGCATTGTTGACCAGGTGATCCACTGTCAATTAACAAGCAAGCCTCTTCAGTTAAACAATTATATATATATATAGATATATAGAGAAATCAATTGCTTAATAACTCAATTCAAGAGCATATATAACTTTTGGTTTATTGTGATTTATATATTTATATTTATATATGTAATTTGGTTCCCTAGGTCTAAAATTAGCCTGCAACAAGGGTCCCCTAGGGCTAAAATTTAGATTTATTAACCTTACAATATACCATTATAAAAAACACTAAGATGAAACAGAAGGAAGATTTGCCTTAAGAGATGCTAAAAGTCAAGATGGCCACACTTCCTAAGTAAGATCACTTTGATTACATTTAAGAGTCCACTGTCCTGTTTCACGAGCAATCCTGTTATAGCTTCTAGAAACCCAATTCAATGAAAAGTTAGTTATAGTAGCATCACCGGAAATAGGAACCTGTTATAAATTAGTGGAACTTTTATACATTCTATTTGAAAAGGAAGAGTTCAAGTTTTAATAGGAATATATGTTATTTGTAAATAATAATAATTAAAAAAAAAAAAAAAAACATTTACTATATGCCAATTATAAATATGTGTTATTTGCAAGTTCGAACAAAAAAAAAAAAAATCTCATTGTGTAACAATTATAAGCTTGAGACAGACCGCATGGACCATTTCATGACAAACATCAATGTCATCATAATTTAAGAGGGGTATGTATGTTTATCCTTCGGTGGTCCAGCCATTGTGGTGATTTTGTGGGTGGGTGTGTCGTGCAGGGTTGGTATTGGGCCTAGGTGATTGTTTAGGGCCTCCAATTTAGAAAGACTTGCAAAAAAATAAAAATAAAAAACACAAATAATTTTAAAGGGCCCAAACACACTTGTGTATAAATGATCTCGCATGTGAAAGTTGACCTAAGGTCTCTCAAAATTTTGGCACTAGCAGGATACTATATCGAGCGAGTTACGGATGTATAATCTCACATCGTCTAGGCATGGAAAGGAGAACTACTATATATGTGGAATTTGTACACTCTAATTGGTATGAGGTCTTTTAGGGTAAAACCCAATAAATAAATAAAATGCAGCTCGAATTCGAAGCGGATAATGTCATACCATGTGGTGGAGTGGGTAGTTACAAATGGTATCGGAGTCTGACCTAACCGGAAATATGGCCAACAAAAATACACTCCAATTGATATGAAACATTTTAGTGTAAAACCCCAAGAGCAAAATTGTATAGGCTCGGTCCAAATCAGACAATATCATACCACGTGCAGGAGTGGATAGTTACAAATGTCAAATAACATAATTACCCTTCACTTCGCACACAGACTAAACTAGGAAACAATTATACAATTATTGCCCTTAACCAGCACTCCTATAAACATTAAGAAGGGGATTTTAAAAAAAAATCAATGAAGAAGAAATTAACCAAATACAAATAGAAAACTCACATTGGCCAAAGTGTTTGACGGCTTCGTCAATAAAGCGTTTGCAATCTTCAAGAATGGAAACATCTGCACAAACCTGAATGATATCAGGAGAGCCAAGGCCACGAGCTGTCTCCGCAACCTTTGGAAGGTGATGGGCATTCTTGTCAACTATGACAAGTGAAGCTCCTCTCTTTGCATATTGGTAAGCCATTTGCTGCATACATACATACATACATATATATATATATATATATATGAGAGAAAGATATGGAAGAAATTAAATTAAATTAAATGCGTGATCGAGTATGAACCTCTCCAATTCCTGATGCAGCACCGGTGATGAGAACTACTTTTCGTTTCATGTTCTCAGGGAAGAGGTGTTGTAAGATAGTATGTATGAAGTTGAAGATGAAGACGGGAGGTATGATGAGACACAGAGATACACATACTAGAGGCATAAGCACTAGGTATATCAACTTATGAATCAAATCACTTACATCCATTTTCTAACCAATGAAGAAGGCAATGGTCTGGCTATTTTAGTTCAATATTCAGTGTAATGAATTGTTTATGGTTGAGATTACCTTTGAGCTGTCTTATACATATAGGGGAGAGGGAGGGTGATTCAACTCAATAAATTATTAATCAATAAATATTCTTTATTACGCTGAAATCACTAAAAACTTCTTAACATATACCAAAAAAAAAATACGATTTGGGGTCAAAATGTACTACTTTTATTAAAAGTTGTACGGAATCATTTCTATAAATATTGTACAATCAATTGTGGAAGGTTGTTGTGAGATCACAAGTAGAGTCCAATTAATATTACGTTGTATAAGAATAGTTTTAGTGTTAAAGTGTGTAGCTTTTTTAGAAATTTCATTTGATAAGGAAGAGATTTTGCATGTGATCGATAGGACGCTGTAACCATTAACGTGGATAGCAACCCGACAACCAAAATTTATGAAAGGAATGGTACCGGACTACCTGTAGAAGCTTAGGTCATTTGGTATGCACTTCTGATCATGTTATCTTTTCACTTTTTAAAAGTGCCTTGTTATGGTTATTCAATTTTTTTTTTATTTTTTTTTAACGAAGATTCTCATGTGCAGAAAGAAGTGACAAACTGTATACATACGTTTACAAATTATGAGAGAATAACTGTTGAGGCAAGAGGAGGCGATCTTCGTTGTTGGGGATTAATCTGGGGGAAGCTCTTGACACCCTGAGTTAATCTAAAAAAATTTATTGATAAGGAAGGGAGATAAATAAGCGGGGACCACAAAAGTTAATTAAAAATGTTTTTTAAAAAAATAAATTAATTAATTAAATTAAATTATAAAAGAGACAAATTAAGAAGTTACAAAGAGAGTTTCAATATTTTCTAAATTTCTACTCAGTTTATCAAAATTTGGATACAGGAGTAGACAATGAGAGGTGGAATCCACTCACTAGGGACTTTTCGCCCCCTCTTTTTACTTGCTGCCCATATTATCTACTATTGATTGCAATCCGGGTGCTCTTACATTTGCAATCTTTTAGATGTAACCCTTTTTTGTTTTTTTTTTATTTTATGGAGGAATGAAATAAGGTAGGAATAGGATGAATAAGAAAATGGAATAGGAATGGAATGAAAATAGAATGATCATTCACGTGCTCTCGTTTGATTATGCATGATTTAAAAAGGAAAACTAAACTCTATATATATATATATATATGCCTAAATATATATTTAGAAATTGAGGAAGAAATATCAAGAAAAAGTTGACTTTTATTGTTTGAGAAAAGTGTGTTAACAATCACATCGTTCAGGTAAAGTAATTCATTCCTCTAGTTAAAAAGTGAAATGATTTTGATGGAATGATCATTATCCGATAACTGTAGAGAATGGACATTCTATCTTTAAAATTATTTTCCAAACCAAAAAATGAAATTAAAAACATTCAATTCCACTTTATTTTATTCCATTTCCACTTACCAAACTAACCTTAAAATGATGAATGTATTATAAAGAAAACAAGTTAAGAGACTTTCACATTATTAAGCAAGCTAGTTTTGGGTAATCTGATATCATAACATCAATATTTACAGAGTTGTAGATGTGTAGGTACTACAAATTTAGCTCGTTATCCATTTGCAGGGTTGGGGATCATGTCTCTGTTTACCCTTCGCAATAAATTCTTCAATTATTTATTCAACATGTAAACCGGGCTCTTCTTCCTCGTCTCTCCAAGTATAGGAGAGGTTGAATGTTGGAAACATATAGTCGCTAGAAGCATAATGTAATAATTAAATTATAAGACATCTAGTTTAACAATTAAAGACATCTAGGCGTAAAATATTTTTTTTGAAGAATATTTTTTTTTTCAAGTAAAATATTCTTTTATTTTTATTTTGTCGGTATTTGACAAAGGTGTAGGTCGAGGTTGAAGTAGAGTCAATCAGCGAGACATGTAAAATAAGTTGCCGAAAATTGATGGATAATTATTTTTGTTAAATTTTAATATATTTTTTTCTTTGTAAATATTTTACGACAACCAAATATCAAAAAATATATATATATTTTACATCCAAACAAACGGAACCCTAATTTAATAATTAAAGAGATCTAAATTTTACTAAAATTAAGGTTAGTCGTCATTCCTGAGATTTTCTCTTGTAGTTTTCACTTTAGTCATCATTCCTGAGATTTTCTCTCGTAGTTTTCACTTTTGTGATCTACTCGTTTGTTTTGTTTAGTTAGACACTTAGACGGAAAAACTTAAAAATAATAGAAACAGAAAAAATTTAAAATTAAAAAAACGATTGAATATAATAAAAAGAAAAGGTTTTAGAAAATTAAAATTTTCACAATTAGCTAATTCTTCCAAAAACATTTCATGCATAATAAGACGTGTTGTTCATATCAGTAAGTACTTCTTTTCCTTAATTTATAATCCGTATAAGATTTTGTAGTATTAGTTCAATTGCTGATTTTTTTTTTTTTATCTGTAACATCAGCAAAATTGATTTCTTTTTATCCTTCTACCCTTTTCACTAATAACTGCTAAGAGCTTTATATATATACGCACTCAAATGCACACATTGGTAATGTCTTGTAAACCAGTAAGTAAGAAACTATACATAATCTCCATTGAATATGATTCAAGGTATAAAGAAGGTAACTACCAAAAAAGCATACCATTGGGCTTATGGGCTATGTAATATTATTAGAAAATGCCTGCTAGGTCAGACTTGGGCTTAACATTGGGCTATTAGGTCGGGCTAGCCCAGTCTGTTGAGTGGTCAAATACCGAGACCATTTTTCAAATGCAAAGTATGTAAAAAAAAAAAAAACACCCTTTTTTAAAAAAATAAAATAAAATAAATAAAAGGCACTCTTTTGATGCAATAAGTGCCCTTCAATACTGTATTTTAGTGCCACCCAGATGTGTGTAGTAAAGTCTTAAAATCCAACCAGTATGAATAGAAATGTCAGTGATTAATCTTGGATACAATTTAACAAGGGAAAAAAAAATTGTTGGATACAATTTCTGTTTTTTTTTTTTTTTTTTTTTTTTTTTTGTAGAGTTTAACTTTTTGCATTAGGTTATTAGCACTTAATTACTTACATTGATTAACTTTATATTTTAAAATTGTTTATATAATATCATTACTTAATGAAAAACAAAAATGGTAAGTAATTCGAAAGTCAGATACATTCGACTCTTTTATGTGAGTGAATAATGAGTTTTTTACATGTCACTCATTTACATGAATGTAGTTGATTATGTCATACTCTTATACCCTATATCACAATACAATCAAGAATTAGAAGCATAGAAAATGTCCATACAGATTCATATCAATTGATATCATTGTACACACATAATGAAGATATACATAAAACCAGCATTACACAAAGCATCTCCCACGCAGTGGGACCGTGGAGACTGGAGAGTCAACTTTTAAGCAATTTAATAGAAATATTAGAAATAAAATAGGTGTATAAATTATACAGTAGTATAATAAAACCTGAAGCTAGTCTGTTTTAGTTTGTGAAGTTGGAATAGATGGTTCATTCAAGACATGCTTGAGTTGGGGAAATAAAATGCGACCGCTATACCAGTCCACGAGTTGAGGGCATAAAGCTTGGAGCATAAAAATGGAGTTGTACCATTTTGGTTCGGTCACATATCGTTCCCCTCGGCATACTCCGTCGACAAGGGCTTCTGCAGTTGCCCTTGAACTCATCAGCGGAAGTAACTGAAAAACAACCTGTGCGTCCATAACCATTTTTACCCTTATTAATAATGAATTGGAATGCTACTTTTGAAATATGTAAAAAAATATATTCAAATTAATTTTAATAATGCTATTTGTAATGAGATAGATGTCTTGACAACATTTTTATATGTATTTACACTCACACTCATAAATTGTACATAAATCTTACACCTCTCTCATCCTTTGATCTACTTGGGTGAGGCCTACCTTAGACACTCGTTCTCTTCTGAGCATTTTTGAATCTATAAATCCAAGAGTTGCAATTGTTACTGTGATTGAAGGTGCCATTTCAGATCTCAACGTCTCAAAGAAGGTTTTTATAGCCGATTTAGTTACCTGAAGCACAATGTAAATAATAATAAAAATATGGAAACAATATATCCAGATATATATATATATAGGAGATATTATTTAGATATAAGTAATGCATATGATTAATTCATACGCTATAGAAGCCCAATGTGGGAGGGTGCACCAATGCAGCACCAGACGAAATGGCAAGAATTTTTCCCTTGTTTTTTTTGAGGTGAGGAATTGCAAAATGGGTTGGATAAACATATCCCCAAAAGTTTATGTCCTGTAGGTAAACTATATATTCAGTTTAAAATATTAAATAAATTAAGAAGGGGAAAAAAATAATTTGAAAAAATGTGTTATATACAGAAAGATTATTACCATCACACGTGTAAATTTCGTAAAATCTGTGACATCTTCAATTGGGCTCACAGAGGCAATACCCGCATTATTGACCAGATGATCCACTGTAAATTAAAAAGCTTCTTCAATTTCAACAATTATATATGTACATATATATATATATATATATATATATATATATATATATATATATATATATATATATATATATTCACAAACAACCAAGCTATATTAATCTCATTTAGTTGTGTTATCAAATACAAATAGAAAGCTCACATCGACCAAAGTGTTTGATAGCTTCATCAACAAAGCGCTTGCAATCTTCAACAATGGAAACATCTGCACAAACCTCAAGGACATCAGGAGAGCCGAGGCCACGAGCTGTCTCTGCAACCTTTGGAAGGTGGTGGGCATTCCTCCCAACTATCACAAGTGAAGCTCCTCTCTTTGCATATTGGTAAGCCATTTGCTGCATACACACACACACACATATATATAACTACTCAATCAATTTTGAATTTATAATTAAATAGAGAAATATATATATATATATATATATATATATATAAGACACATATGGAAGAAATCAAATGAAATGGCAATGTCTGAGCATGAACCTCTCCAATTCCTGATGTAGCACCAGTGATGAGAACTACTTTTCCATTCATGTTCTCTGGGGAGATGTAATATTGTAAGATAGTACGTATGAAGTTGAAGATGAAGACGGAAGGTGAGATGAGACACAGACACAGACATACTAGAGGCATAAGAACTAGGTATATCAACTTATGAATCACATCACTTTGATCCATTTTTGTAACTACAAGAAGACAATGCTCTAGCTAGTTCTTTTATTTTGCTTCTATATATATTCAATGCAATGAATTGTTTATGGATGAAAATTTCATTTTACTTGTGTTATACATATAGGGGTGAGAGTACAGTACTACTGATTTAATGAAGCAGAAGCTAATAACGTTTTACAAGAACCCTAAAAATATTATTAATCAAAACTACTTTATTATTAAAAGTCGTACAGAATCAGTTCTATAAACTTCAACAAGAAGGTTGTTGGAGTGACCTCACAAGTGGAGTCCAATTTAAGTTTCAATCGATATATATGGTTTGCTGACTCGCTGTTAAAGTGTGTATCTTTTTCTTAATTCTTTCGATAGTGTTAGGTTAGGAAGAGATGCCAACTATAAAATTCTGGTGTGATACGATGATGAAACCATTAAAATTGTGTGCAGATAGCAACCCAACGTTGACATCTAACAACCAAAATTACGAAAAGAATCCTACATTACATCATAGAAATTCAAAATGAATAGCGTGTGGAGACTAGATTGTGGACTTGAATCACAAAATTATTAATCTTGTGCAAATTTTTTTTTTTTTTTTTTTTTTTTTTTGGGTTTTTGATTCATACATTGCCATTAAATTCATACCATGTCTTGCTGAACTGATCACGAACAATATTGGTCTATATATTTTTGGTATCTTTGCTAAGTGAATGATCTATATATGTTGCTGTAATAAAAAGATGAATGTATTATAAAGAAAACAAGTTAAAGGGACTTTCACATTAAGTTAGCAGCTAGTTATGGGTAATCTAATTATGTCATAACATCAATATCTATGGAGTTCTAAGTACAAATTAAAACTGATTTCATTAATATTCGAAGTAGAAATTAAGCTTGTTAACCATTTGCAGGGTTAATGATCATCCTTCTTCCTAGTTAGTCCTGTCCAATATCTTCATTGTCATGCTTTACCATTAACTAATATATAATACTTTCTCTTCAAGCCACCTTTGTCTGTTTACCCTCGCAATAACTTCTTCAGGGCTCTCTTCCACATTTTTCTAAATTAAGGAGAGGTTGAATGTTCGAAACCTACAAGTAGAAGCTACCACAACAAATAAACTACAGTTACAGAATGAGTGCATTGGGCGGTAGTTTTGTAAGATAGAATGAGTGTATTGGCAGTAGTTATTTGCGCTCTTTGCGCTTCTTAGCACCACATTCATTTTTTAGACCACAAGAAAATATGAGGTTTTATATTTATTTCTTAATTCTCTAATTCATATAACAGGAAGGACCAAAAATATAAAATATAAAAGTCCTACAAAGATTTTGGAGTGACAAAATCAATTTTCGTAAATTTTATATATAGTTTGATCAAATTGTTTTTATCTACACATTTTACATATTACGTGGTATTTAAAAATATATCATTTTATGAAATGATGTAAATGATTACTTAGTACATGAGGAGTATGACACGCACTGTAAATATATTATAGAGGTATTTTGTGCACTTTATAAACTATTGTTATTTTCAATCTTTCGTTTTTTAACTGTTAGTTTTAATTGAAATCGTACTTCTATCGCGATTCGAATATATGACGACGATAAGTGATTGAATATATGTGTTGTTATGTAAAGAATTATATATATAAATATATATATATATATATATATATATATATTTGTAAAAATTTATTGTAAATTTTAAAGTTTAAGAATTAAATGTATATTGTTTAGGCATTAGGCTTGTTAGGAATATAATTGTGTATTGACATATTTTGTAGTCAATATATATTTAATTACATAGAACAAACCCGTCACCAACATCAAATTTTTAGCTCAGCCCTGACGTAGCACCCTCTCCCAAATCTTCTTGTTCCTCCATTCAACACCCGTGCCACCACTTCAATTATAGAGGGAAAAGGCAAAACATGCACCAAATTCATAGGAAAAAGCAACAATATTCCCATTTTCCTCACATTTTTTTTACTGTGATTTATTTTCCAGTGGACACTCGGAGAGAAAGGATTGCTGAAAAAGCAGAGGCAAATTTGGAATATCACACACATTCAAGTCAAATGGACGGTAAAAGCAATTGATTTGACATCATGATAATTAAAATTGCTTTAAAACCAAGCCCAACCAACCACAGCTAATTGTGAAAAACTTTGAAAATGATATAGATATATATTTACTACGTCTGTTTTATAAAGGTAAAGTGCATTAAACCCCCTCAACTATACTCAAATAGGCACAAAACCCCTCTGAATTTTTAAATGAGCAAAAAAACCCCCAAATTATAGTGTTTGGTTGCAAATCACCCCACTCTGGTAGATTATGACCGGCAAAAATAGCACATGTTATCACGTGATGGGAATTGTAAAATTAAAGGACCATAATGCCCTTGTTCACATGAAAGGACTATAATGCCCCTTTGTCACCATTATCGAATGGCAAATTCCCACTCCGATTCCCCAACGAAGCCGGAATCGGGCCAGAGAGTCTATTATTGGAGACGTCAAAGACGGAGAGGCGGACGAGGAGGCCCAGCTGCTGGTGAGCAAATTGTAGCCTCAACACCACCGCCACCCATCTCTGCAAACCCATAACCACCGCCACCCATCACCCCATTCCAAATCCGTAACCAAATAACACATCAAACCCATAACCACCGGTCCAGCACCACCACCACCACCCTCAACCAAAACCATCACCGCTCTCCACCCAAAACCTCCACAGTCACTATTCTGCCCAACCAATACACCCTAGCCGGGAAAATGAAATTAATCCTGGCTTTACCAAATTTCCCCCAATCATATTCAACCAAAAATAAAAAAAATCCCCAAATCATGAACTCTGCAACTGGTATGGTTTTTTGCTGCTGTCGAACCCAAAAACGGCGCCGACGAAGACAGCGGCACAAGGAGTTACTGGTGAGGCGGTGAGGACGTGCTGGGTGTGGCACAATGAGTTACGGGAGACCATCACCGTCTGCGCCGTCGACAACACTGGGATGTCAGATCTGCTCTCGTCGTCTGCCGCCGTAAAGAGGTCGGCTATTAAGAGGTCGTCCGATGAGGACTCGGCCGTGATGGTCCATCTCCGCCGCTCGAGTCTCTGCCGCCTTTTCTTCTATTCTTCGCGGGACACGTGGGACGTGTTGGTGATCTGGAACGCCGACGAGGACGACGGCTGCTTACCGTCAGTGTCACCGGTCAACGACGACATGAACAAGGTGGCGTCATAAATGGCCGGCAAGATCGATGTGCGCCCTCTCCTCTCTGTGCCGCACAGAGATATAGTATATATATATGTGTATATATATATATATACATATATTTATAATATATACACACACACAAAAATAGAGAGGGGGAGATAGAAACAATGTATTTGAATAAGGTTAAAATTGTCTTTTATCTTTTTCGATAACCTGAGTGGGCAAATTGCAAAAAAGTGAAAGTTCAGGAGAGTTAGTTGCAAAACCCCATAGTTGAGGGGGGTTTAATGCATATATACTCTCACAGTCCCATTCCAATAATACCATTTGAATTTTATAATTTTTGAAGGAGAGAAGCCTTTAATGCAATTTTCCTTTTTTAAAATTTAAAATTATTCTTAAAAATTTAAAGTATTAAGCTTGAAAAAAAATTTAAATATAAAGGATATTAATGGAAGGATCTCATGTGCATAAAACACTCTTAAAATATGCTTACATTGCATATTATACCCCTATTGTATCGTGCAGTAAATCATAAATTGTCTAAATTACTCTTAGTAAATTATTTTATAAAATATATAAAAATAAATAATTTTATTAAAAGACCGAAATACCCACAATGCAGTGTGGTCGTTCTGTACTCCCCATCAACACAAGTTGAGTCCATCCATATTCTCATTTTCATTATTAGAGAGCCTCGCGCGTTCTAGAGAGAGACCACAAACCCTAGCCCTAGGTTTTGTCGCAGGCCATTTACACAAGCAAGGAATGACTGGCGACAAAACCAGCAAGTCTGATGACAGCGATCAGAGAGGATTTCAGCGGCGACACAACACACTCCGGCGATGATGACGAGCTCTAACGATTCCGACGAGGAATGATGACAGAACTACCGACAATTGACCGGCTAGCAAGGATCACTGCGCCGTGGCCACATAGAACAGAACGGTGGACGGCGATGCCGGCGGGAAGTGGATCTGAACTGCGGGACTTGGTTTTGGGTGTTTAGTTCACAATAGGGTCTTTGGTTTTGGGATTGGTTTTGTTGAAGATGGGTTTGTGATTTTTGCAATTTGATTCTCGTTGAATGGTTTTGTTGGTGGTAATATGTTTTGGGTATAGCAACAAAACGTTTTTTTTTTTTTTTCAATTGGGGTTTGGTTTTGTGGTGGTGTCGATGGGTTGGTGGTGATGGTGGTTGTGGTGTTTGCAGTAGGCGGTAAAGGAGGTTTTGGGTGGACAGGGATTTGGGTGGTGGGCTGTGGAGTTTAGGACGGCGGTCGGCGGCGGCGGCGGCGGCGGCTAAAGGGTTCTGCTACTGGTTTTTTTTTTTTTGTTTTTTTTCAAGGCCTACAGTCTGTCCACAGGTTCACCGGCTGGGATGTCTTCTGTTTTTTCTTCTCGGTTTACCTACAACTCCTACCGAGAAAAAGGAAAGGAAAATAATAATAATAATAATATGAAAGAACCACCAGAATTGAATTTTTTTTCTTTCAAATTTGTACCAAGATAAAAGATATAATCAACAGAGCACTAAATAAATGAAAAATGAAGGGGTGTAATTCTAAATATTTGTCGTTGATTATACCTTAAAAAAAATTAATTTTTTTACTTTATTAAAAACGTATAGTGATAAGAAATTAAGAATCACACAATCAAGCAAGATGCACGAAAACTAAATTTAAAAACAATCTTTTCGAATTTTGTCACTAATTAATTAGATAAAATTACTACTAATTAAATTTAATCAAGTTATGGATAAAAATCTCAAGGGAACAAAATCTACCACCAC